TGTGTAGTGAAAATGCTTATACTCGGCAGTCTTTTCTAATTGAATATTTATCCATCAAAATTAAAATAATTGCATTTATCTTTTCTTACTCATTTATTGCTAGTTAGAACAAAAAAACTCAACAAATTTAACTTGAAAAAGATGCTGTATCACGTCACACCTGATTATTTTTTGTATGCTCCACGTGCATCTTCCTTACATTTATTTATGATCCATTAGATAAGAAATACACACCCTATAAAATTTATTACACGGGTGTTTCATTTCAGTAAATGCAGTTGTAATTTTGTGTTCATTATTTCTTTTTTCACACCCATTCACTGTCTGCCTCTGTGATCTTGTTCTTTTCGTTTGCCCTCATTAACTTTTAAATCTCTCTCTAGGTGGTGTTTGATTTGAGTCTGGCTCGAGGACTGGACTACTACACTGGTGTGATTTATGAAGCCATTCTCTCCCAGACCATCCCAGCGCCCGCAGAGCAGAACGGGGCGGATGAGGCTGCCGTGAGTGTTGGTAGCGTGGCTGGTGGAGGGCGATACGATGGTCTGGTGGGCATGTTTGACCCCAAAGGCAGGAAAGTGCCCTGTGTTGGCGTCAGCATTGGGATTGAGAGGATCTTTTCCATCATGGAGCAGAAGGCCGAGGTGAGTGAGAGAAAGAGGGGTAGGAAGGTGTATAATTACTTTTTTTTTTTTTTTTATGTCTGTTTTTGGAAGCTTGTTTTTTAAGAGTACATTTAAATATAATATGAAATGGCATTTACAACAAAAAAATGGGGAATATTAATGTTTAGTTTTAAATGTTTAATGCTTTTTAAACATTTAGAAAGATCAATGGTTTAATTTTAACATTTATGTTAATTATTTAATGCTATTTAAAATTTACGTTCAATTTTTTTTACTGTATTTTTTTTTACTGTATTCCACTATTTTAATATGAATTTAAATTTTAAAAAATATTATAAATATTGGAAATATTAATGGTTCATTTTAAATATCCAATTATTTAATGGTTTTTAAAAAATTTAGAACATTAATGTCTAATTTTAATATTTATTTTAATTATTTAATGCTATTTTATTATTTATTATTTAAGGGTATTTTTTTTTTTACATTTGGGAAGATTAATGTTTTTTTTTTTTTTATATTTAATACTATTCACGTTATTGAGTAAATTTTTTAGAACGGTGCCACTGTTTTTAAGATAAAAGGTATTTGAAATCTTAAATGTAAAAACTTTTAAAACAATATTAATAATTTATTATTATGGTAAAAGTAGTTTTAATTACTAAATGCTTTTTTTGGGGGGGGGAATGGTGCCACTGGTTTTTATTATGATAGGGTATTTATGATCTGTGAAGATTAATGGTTTATTTTTTAATATTTTAGTTCTATAATTATTTTTATTACACTAAGAACATTTTTAGAATGGTGCCACTGTGTTTAATATGAAAAGTATTTAAATAGACATGTGGAATGTTCTCATCTCCTCCAGACATCTTCAGAGAAGGTGCGCACCACTGAAACTCAAGTGCTGGTGGCCTCGGCGCAGAAGAACCTTCTAGAAGAGCGACTCAAACTGACCAGCGAGCTTTGGAATACCGGAATCAAGGTTTGTATATGCTTCAAGAAAACCAAAATGAATGTGGAGTTGTAATGTGGATCTCTGACTCTGAGCTATGCATTATGTGCTACAGGCTGAAGTTTTATATAAGAAAAACCCGAAGCTGTTGAGCCAATTGCAGCACTGTGAGGAAACTGGGATTCCACTGGTGGCCATTTTAGGAGAACAAGAACTCAAAGATGGAGTCGTCAAACTGCGCAATGTGGCCAGCCGAGAAGAAGTGCGTTTGATAGTCTCGCAGATTGTTTACAATTTGTCATGCATTTTAACAAAACATTTTGACTGATTATAAAACAATTTTACGCCTTATTTCAAACAGGCTACATTTGTCACACAATATTGCATTGCATGTTTATCTTCTTGAAAATAAATAGTTATTTTAAATTTTTATACCTCAATTTTTGGGAGTCCGATCAAAATCACTAACATGTTGTCTGGTTTCCTGTAGGTTGATGTGCCCAGAGCAGATCTGGTGGATGAGATCAAAAAAAGGACCTTGTAGTCTTAAAAACCATATAGACGGAGGAGGACAGTGGACCCATTTACAATTGTCAGTAATTAAACATTAAGGACAAAAAATATTTACAACTCATTGCCTGCTCTTTTAAAATGCGCTTGGATTATGTCAGATCTATCAATAAATGAGTAACTAAGATATTTTGTTTGTCTTATCTTTGTGTCAGTCATATTTGTTTTAATGCCACATGCAAGATGCTACTTTTACATTGAGGCCTACATTCTATGTAACTTTGTCTTTAAGACAGCCATAAATATTAGTATTGCAAATGTAATCATTTAAAGGGGTCATATGATGTTTCTAAAAAGAACATTATTTGGTGTAATGAAATGTTTATGCGGTTTAAGGT